CTTCCATTTTTGTGTGTTTGAGTGCGGGTTGCATACTCTAGCCCCTGAAAATTATGAAATATTTCACAGCCTCGTGAAATTTCACTGAAGTTTCCAATCTCTCATTTCTGTCTTACGTTTTATGCCACTCTGGTTCAGTGCACTGAAAAAAAATTCTCGGCGTTTTTACCAAGGTCCGTTGGTACCTTTACCATCTCACTTTTTTACCAATTATTGGTAATTTCACCAAGACAGACTGGTAAGCTTACCTAAAAACAGGTATCTTTACTATTTTTCTTTAGGTAAGAATACCACTTTTATTGGTAATTAATTCCCGGTGACTTTGCCATTTTAACTCGGTAATTCTACCACAGTCGATAAAAAATATTGGCGTTTTTACCAAGGCCCAGTAAAATTACCGAGAAAGTTCAATCATTTCATCGAGATTCCTCAGTAAAATTACCAATTCCATAAATGGTAATTTTACCAAGAAAAAACTGGGATCAAATAGAACCCTGAATTCTTGGTAATTTTACCCTTTTCTTAGTAAATACACCGAGATTTTTTTTTCAGTGTGGTTAAGTGCCTTTGCGCCGAATGGGTCTTTTTGAGGTAGGACGATGTTGCAATGGGGGAAGCGCGAGCTAAGACGAGGGCGGGGGTGGATGGTGTCGCGGTGGCGGCGGTGGAGGGGTGGGGGCGGGCGGAGTGACAAACTGCGTGCGTCTCGGTGTGTCGCCGACCTGTCAGGTCGGGCGGGAGACGCTCGGCTCTTTCCTCATCCGTGGCGGCTGCGCCCCGAGCCACCCCGACATGAAAAGCGACTCCCTCGAAACGTGAAATTGAGCTTGTAAAAACGTCGAGCCAAGGTGTGCGAGGAAGCCGCGAAAGGCGGAACAACGGGGTAAAGCACCGAGCGTTGTCGCTTCTTCTCGCAAGTTTGTCGTCTACGGCCCGTACACTGAAAAAGAAATCTCGGTGTATTTACTAAGAAAAGGGTAAAATTACCAAGAATTCAGGGTTCTATTTGATCCCAGTTTTTCTTGGTAAAATTACCATTTATTGAATTGGTAATTTTACCGAGAAATCTCCGTAAAATTATTGAACTTTCTCGGTAATTTTACTGGACCTTGGTAAAAACGCCAATATTTTTTATCGACTGTGGTAGAATTACCGAGATAAAATGTCAAAGTCACCGGGATTTAATTACCAATAAAAGTGGTATTCTTACCGGAAAAAAACGATAAAAATACGGGTTTTTAGGTAAGCTTACCAGTCTGTCTTGGTAAAATTACCAATAATTAGTAAAAAAAGTGAGATGGTAAAGGTACCAACGGACCTTGGTAAAAATTCGGAGAATGTTTTTTCAGTGCGAGTTCGTCGTATTCTCAGTCCTTCTTCAAACAGCTCCTGCTGGAGTGTATGGAGCCGATCGACATGAATCCATCGGAAACTAAAAACGTGGAACGATCGACGAATTATGGAACAAACGGTGTCGATTCAATCGACATAAACCGATCGGAAACTAAAAACGTGGAACGATCGACGTAAATCGATCGACTTAGCGTAACTTCCGCTGCCGCGCAGCGCTGATCGCACCGTGTTTGGCGCAATGCGTGAAGTATTCACGCAGTCTTGTAGGCGCTATGCGTTTCACGCTGACCGCACTGTGTTTGGCGCGATGCGTGAAGTATTCATGCATTCTTGTAGGCGCTATGCGTTTCACGCTGACCTCAACGACCGCACTGTGTTTGATGCAATGCGAGAAGTATTCACGCAGTCTTGTAAGCGCTAAGCGTTTCACACTGACCGCACTGTTTTTGGCGCAATGCGTGAAGTATTCACGCAGTGTTGTAGGCGCTATGCGTTTCACGCTGACCACAATAACCGCACTGTGTTTGATGCAATGCGAGAAGTATTCGTGCAGTCTTGCAGGCGCTAATATGTGTTACATGCCGATCGCCGCGCCGAGGGCTTCTCCTTTTCATCTCAAGTCCTTGTTATCATTTCTCTCTAAGGCGCGCCGTTCCAGGTCAAATTGTGTGTTTGGTTTCTCTATTAACTCGACTAATTGAAGGCACTGTCTCTGGTATCACTAAGAGACGACAAAATTAGAAATTACTATACTCTCAGTAAATGAGAGATTTTGTCGCCTTTTCTCGTTTGTAATTTTTTTTGTCTAAATCCGATTTTTTTTTTTTTTATACCTACACTCTAAAAAATTGCAAATGTTTGCCGCCCCTTAGATCTGTCGCCTTGGGCCGCGGCCCGTTTGGCCACCTCCTTGATCCGGCCCTGATCTGGTGACCAAGAAGCGCCCAAAGTAGTATGAATATGGCGACTTGACCTCGAAAAAAATCCAATAAAAATCGTACAGCGTCGCATAATGGTGCAGAAAAATACGAATTAAATTACAGTGTTGTATAGGGATTATTATTCAATATGGCAACGCTGTAAGGAAGAAAGTATTGCATGTTGCCCCTTCAATAATCGGGTTATGGAATCGTGTAATGTAGCCCCTTCAATCTGCGGTTTATGCAATGGTGTATTTTTCAAGATGGCGCAGCAGCGTTGCCGGACGGTGGACATAAATAAATGATTTATTTATTGGTAAAATTTTGCAGCATCGCATTTTACAGTGTTGCCAGATGGGGCGAGAAATTAGTTAATGGTGTCTCTGTTTTCAGCACTCAAAATTGCCAATTATGGAAGGGGATAAAATACGTTGAAAATTTTCGAATTAAAAGGTTTTTTTTTCAGGGGGATTGGCCTCACCTTAGAATTGTAGAGATCTTCGAATTGAAGGGCTTCGAATTAGCAAGCGTGCACTGCTATATTACGCTTTTGTAAAATTTTGGACTTCTCATGCTGGGGACACTAAGGAGAAAAGTTAATGTGAGACTTTCTTTGAACTCCTTCACTTTTCCTTTCGAATTGATTAAGAGTCCCTGTTTTGATCTTCAACATTTTTGAAAGTGTGGGACAAATTAATTAAGGGAGAATACAATTTTTTGGTAGTAATAAATAGTGTTGGTAACCCGGTGAAGATTCATGAGAACAGAAAGACGAATATGAATAGGAGGACTTTAATCTTGACAAATTTTAAGTCAGTCATTCAGATCCTGCAAAAACAAATGACTCCGTCAAATTTAGGACTAAAACATCATTACGAAGCACCAAAGTATGTAGGATAATAATTCCTATTATTTGTTGGGCATGAGTCTACAGAGAGTCACAAATTCTAACGATTCACGACAAGAATTGCATTATTTTAGGGTCATCAGTTTATCCCGAACGCTCGAAAACACTAAAAAATAAATTGGCAGCACTATTATTTGAATTGCCAAGAAGGTTTCCTCTAGGCTTTTCTTTACAATATAAAAAACACCAAGTGCAGCATTTGGAACGAAAATATAAAACCCTGCACTGTCGTGCTAAGGAACAACGCCTGATGGACCTTCAATCTTTGCAACACTTCTTGGAGCAAAAAATAATTTACCGGGAAAATTGTGAACAATTTTTTTAATTCTCTGAACAATGTTGTTCACATTTTAATTTAAGATGTTTGGAAATCTCAAGGATTAAAATGGATTACCTACTATTCGAAAATACATATTTTATTGAAGAAAAATTTGCAACTCTTCAATGTTCATACGGCGTTCTTCTGTAACACAGCATTACGTGTGGGAAAAAGGTATACATAGTTTCTAAGAACTGATGTAGACTAATTTTTTGGACGAGTCGAGTTGATTCAAGAATATTTCCTGGATCCCTTGAAAAGGTGTGTGAAAATAAAAACGCTCCTCATTCAGCAGTTTTTTGTTCACATTAAAAGTTCTTACATTAAAGTTGTGCTTTCGGTGTTCCACTGACCACAGTGAGTTGTAAAATTATGTGCGCCTCGTAAAAGTAAAACTTTTATCCCAATGAGAATAGTTGTATTGGTGTTAAGCCCTTTTGAAAGCTACATTTGTAGAGATGAAAGGTACCTAAAAATTCTACAATTGAACTATTCACGAGTGTGGACGAATCCGAAACATAAGAAATGAAAAATAGGGGAGAGTGGGGTTATTTGAGTCAGTTTTAGGAAAACGCTCGTAAATGTTATTTAAAAAAATGTTTTGTCTGATTTCATGATTTGATACGATCAAGTATATTCTCAGCTATTGAATTTATGCCGGAGCAAATTTTTTGTGCATAAAGTAAAGTCAAAATCTTTATTTGAGCATGGTAACCTTGTTGACCCACTTAACCCCGACCATGGGGTTTAATGAGTCACCCCTGGTGTTAACTGAGTCACCCACTGTGAATCACTCTGGACACATATTAATCAACTTAAAATAGATATTTGTGAAACCTCTATGAGATAAATCTTTAAAAGTATCAATGCTGCACTAATAAAAATAGTAAATAAATTGAGAAATATTGAAGGAGGGGGGTGGGGTTGGGTTTCCTCTTTTTATCCTTCAATGTATGGTTTACAATGGCTCGATGATCAATTTATTTTTTTCTTTTTTGGTAGATACCAATTTGCTTACTGAATGAGGTGACAGGTACCTATGTAAGTGAATGGATGAATACATAGATAAATTATTAATGATAATTTTGGTTGGTATGAGAGGAGTGTTGAAAAAAAGGTGAGCTTAAGAATATTTAGGAATTCAGAATAGCAAGGCAATAAGAACCCTCTGTTATGGCAAAAATTGTGAAATTTCTTTTAGAGGCTTAAATAATAATTTTTGGGAAGTTTTGAATATTTTCTAGAAGACATTATTTTTTTTTCAACCCTCCATTTCATGACCACCAAAATAAATATTTAAGAGGTTGTTGCCTTCGCTAAAAAATAAGAACCAAAATTAAAGAAATAAATTTTAATAAACACAAATTAATGCAACTCTATCAACTTAATACTGATTGTTGGTCCTGCTATCTTTTCAAAACCACGGTTTGTAGTTGAAACACGAGTGATTTCTCTATTGACTTGGGAAATTCATTTATTAACTTTTTTTTTATTTTGGCAGATAATACTTCCACAAACAATTTGGGAAGCAATGAAAGAGGAAGTGAAATCCAAAAAGGTAGAAGAAATCGAAGTGGAATCACCATTGTTACAGGTAAGCGGAGATGTCATTACACAGCGATGATACTTCCCCATCCCATATCCTCAGCAGGAAATCAACAGATTATGTAGTATTGTTACTTCTGTTCCTGTCTCATTTTTTCATCTTCAAGTATTTAGTTTGCATTAGCTTAAGCAGTTACCTATGAGAATGTGATCGAAGCAATATTTTTTCAAAGAAAATTATTAAGTTAGGTACTGTAGAGTTAAGTTTCAAACCGATTAAGTTACCTTAAAGTTAACTTTTGAATTTGTTGGACCTGCCCTTGAATACATGATTGTTAAATTTCTATTCTATTTATATTGGCAAAAGTTTAGGGTATACCCTTTACGACAGGCTCACAGGAGATTCCGCACACAAGGTACCGTGTGCCTTGCGTCTTGAAAAGTTGTGGGTGGAATTCCCTAGTGAGTGGTAGTTGAGCTATTGCGTCGCTCGATCACATAATGTTTCTCTCTTCCTGTATCTACCGACTTGTAAGAAACGCGTTGAATCCCTATTCTTGTAAAGAAAGGGGAATCGAGTTCTTTTCAAGAGAAATATTCCCAAGCATTTTCCCTCCTCATTTTGCCTATACACTACAAGCACTCAAGAATTTCTTGGATTAGTTTTCCCTGCTAATAATAAAGTCTAAATTTTTGTGAGGGCTCAGTCTTTGACAAGATTTCAACGGTGGTTTAAGATTCTTCAGGAATTTAAAAATAGAATTGAAGGATACACACTGATCAAATTGTTTTTTTCACTTTTCAATTAGAAAATAGTCGGCACTTCAGAAAACGGGTGCTGCCTAATTCATAACAAAACAAAGCGAGCCCAGAAAGTGAGCACCTTCCGAGATGCTCACTGGGAGGGCGAAGAACAAAATCTGATCAAAGAATATTGGCAGAACCAAGAACACCTGAAAAAAGGGAAGGAATATGGACCCTTCCTCTACGGGGCAGATATAATGGAGAGTATTTACACGACCAGTGAGACCGTAAGTAAAAAAATATTACTTCATAAACTTTAAGCTTAATGTTAATGTAACAGGAGTAGGCCCACTTGCCAAAATCCATTTTGTTATTTTAACGTGTGGGTTGTGTTTGCAAGTTCCTAGAGGCTTCACAGTGAGTGGTACGTTTAGGTAATTGGTATTAACGATTCCTACGTTGTGAAATACTTGCGTTAGCGATTGGTGTGCAGTGTTGATTAATTTTCAATATTGATACGAAAATTTTAAAATGGTAAGTTTGAAGAACCATCGGAAATTGATCATTACTTGCCACTTAAAAACGGTGTCAAATTTTCAACTGTAATCGGTTCTTGCACTCATTCGTATAACTGTGTGTCGTCAGCGAACCTTTGTATGGATCACATGTGCTTTATTAGGAGTCACGATGTAAGGTAACCGTACCAGTAATTGGCACGTTAAGGATTTTTTCAACTTTGAAGGTCTACTTCTTTGGAAGTTTGAGACTTATTGTTGATGTGCAGGATTTTAGTTGAGGTGCATACACTCCTCTGTTTAAAAATGGTCCAAAGTAACAATTTCTGTGCTTTTATTAAATTTAATAATGATATTTATGGAAAATGAGAAACATACCAGTAACTGGCACCCGAAAATTTGGATTTGCCAGTAATTGGCAGACCTTCCACTAGCAATTGGCGAAGCATTTATTTTATGTATTAATTACAACGTGTATTTAATTGTGTTTTGTTTTTATTGTGGTTTTGTTTAATGTTTTTCATTTTATTCCTCTTAATCATTCAAAATTCAATTTATTAACCTTAAAACACCTTGTGCCAATCGTTAGAACTAGTCAAAAATTGAGTGCATCAGTAATTGGCAACCACTGCTTAACACCGGTGAAGCCTCTGTTTTCACAGTATGAATGTTGGGCTTTTATATTTTTTTTTTTCTTAGTCATCCAAAATTTCCATTTGATAACTTCAGAACTCCTATCGCAATCATTGGAACAAAAATTGGCAACCATTGCCAAACACTGGTGAAGCCCGTGTTTTCACCGTACTAATGCTGGGCATTGCAATTGTCGCTTTAAAAATTAAGATTTCTAGCTTATTTTTAAATAGAATAAGGCAGCATAAGTGTAGAATTCGCCAATACTTCGACTTTTATGATTGGCTCAAAATTAAATCTGCAAACCCTTAATGAAGAAGGTGCTTACCCTTACGAATTTGATGAGAAATGCCGATTCCTTGATGGTACACGGAAGTGCGAATTTCTCCACCTCCCACTTCTTCAAAGTCAGCATGGGTGTGTTAACAGCTCCCTTTAATAGTATGATTTTAAACGAAATTATCGCAAGTTCATAATACCAACAACAGAGCTTATTATTTGGGTATACAATTGAGAGTGATGATTACTGGTACAGTTACCTTAGTATCGAATTTCTATTGATTTTACAGGGCTTTCATATTGATGAAATTCCATCTTTACTAACGGGTAAGATAAACGAGCCCGGGGTCGACCATAGCTATTCCTACTTCGGGACAAAATTTTCTTCCTTTGCCTGGCACAGGGAAGACATGTGCCTGTACAGTATCAATCATCATTTGGAGGGTGCCCCGAAAATATGGTGAGTTCTTTTTTTTTCTCTTCCAATCTTTCATGGTTAATAACTGTTTATCTCCTTTTGAGACAGAGGCAAATCATCAAACCTTTTTTATTTCTGATCGCTACTTGTAGACTGAAATTATGTGACATTTTCTTTGTGGGATTGGTCAAATTATCGTAACGCCATAAATTGTGGAAGAGGGTTATTGATAATGTCTAGACGTAAGAAGAAAATATACCGCTTGAAAAATTGTTTTGTTTCCTCCGCTCCATTGACGAGACGAATGATCCCGCTATACATGATTTTTGAGGACCTCTAAAAAGGGAGCGTCACATCTCCGCGAACACAATTTTTCGGGCAATTGGAACGTGGGCATGCGTCTTTTCTTACGCGAAACGGTAAGATTCGACTATTTGCAGGCAAATTCCTCCAGAGATAAACGGACTCATATTGCCGGAGAGAAAGTTTAATCCTTTTCTACATAAGGAAAATTGCATGGATGTGGATGTAGGTAGTTAAAACACTCTGCTTACCAAATCCGAATGAATCAGTGACGTTGTAGATATGAGTTCTCACTAACGAGTCGGTAAAATTAGTTTCCTGTTAAGTTTTGATGTCTAACTCGGTTCTGATTCGGAGGGCCGGCTTCTTGATAACCCTATAGTTTTGTCAGCTTCTTGATGCCATCATGAATTGTCTGTCCTTCCAGGTACACCCTTCCAGCCACAGAATCTGAAAAATTCGAGTTATTTTTACATAAGACTTTCCCGGAAGCAAATTATTGTAAAGGGTATTCTTGCCATAAAAGAAATGTAGTTTCACCGCAAATCCTGGAAAAAAATGGCTTCCACCCACACATGGTGCGTATATTTATATATATATTATTATTATTATTATTATTTTGAATCGGGTGGTCGACACGGTCAGATCCTCGTAATCGTTGATTCAGTTGATGTGACAACAAAAAGTGTATCTATGTTGAATGTACATCTTTATCTTATGTTTTTAACAAGAGCCTTTGCTTTGACTACCGACAACACAGATGTGAGGGTCTCGTCATGAGAGGCGTGAATAAAGTACACCCAGTTTCTCAACTTTTGCTTTGAAATGTTTTCCCCACCCCCCTTTTGTTCATTTTTTCGATCACTGACAATTGCAGTTTGGTCCTTTTTCCTAACTTTCCGGTTTTCGAGCCATTCGTTGGCTGAATTTTCCCACCTTATCTGTTATTTGCCCTTAACTTATTAATAGAAAGTTTTTTCTGTCGGATAAGTACATTCCGGGTATAAGAAGTTAGCAGATTTTATGGTGAATTTAATTGTAGACAAAAGAATTGCAAGGAATTGGTAGAAGAATGGTTTAGTTCCATTAAGTTAGGTATTTTCTTACAGTAACGTTGTCCTGTTCTCCTACTTCGGACTTCCATCGCCAGCTTTTGCAAGTCTTGTCACGTAGAGCGTCTACTTTACTTGAATGTTTTCCGACTAATAAGTGTCATGGAGTGGTTAATCCATTTGCGACGATTTTCAAGTGGTCATCACGTCCACAACAGGTTGGTAGCTTATCTTTGAACTAGGTTGAAGCTGACTTATTTTTTTTTTCTTGAGTCGTTCCATCTCTTGTTGCAGATAATTCAGCGGCCTGGCGAAATCGTTATTACGATACCCAATGGATACCATGGTGGATTCAACATCGGATATAACTGGGCTATTGCACGAAATTTTGCAACACCAGGATGGTACCCATTTGGGGTCGAGGCAAAGACGTGCTCCTGTGGAGGGTTAGTAGTTTTTTTGCATTCCCTATTTATTTTCGCTTTTGGTAATATCTTAAAGGTATCGACGGTGTAAGTCGACAATCACATAAGTCAGTTTGCAACGTCACAAACTTCCTGTCACACTTTATTTTTTAAACAGAGAAGTACTCAATGGCAGTTCTTTAAGACTGCCTGATTGTTCTTCTCTGCAGGAGGAAAATTCTACAAAAACTTCAAGGAAGGACGGATCAAATTTGTAAGTTATCAACTGAAACTTTGGTTTTGATGAAATTTCAGAGGGATAGAATTCAGGAGTCGACTCCTTTCCAAGTGTGTGCTTTGTGTTGAAGGAATCATATTTTTCATCATTTTCGAATACAGCATAGGTCTGATGTTGTGGGAAAAACATGGCGTGTCGACAAGTCTTGGAATGTTTATCACTCAAGTGATGAGTTAACCGGTTCGCGGTTAGATGAACGAGATGATCAACAAGATGATAGTTTAAAATGTTTTTCTCAAACGTCTACGGTAGAATCAAAAAGATGCGGGTTGTGTTAACGATGGTTCCACCTGGGCTTAACATCATTGCTTGCATGGGAGGAATTACTTAATAACTTACTCTTACTTGTAAGTAAGCGGTTCAAACATTGATGTGAAAATAATGGGCATGCAGGTACTAGAGGCTTAATTTGAATAGGATATTTGTGACAAATCAAAAATGGGCCCTTTGAATGATGTTGAAAATTAATTTTAAAGACCCTATTGTTAGTATCAAAGCTCAACTTTAATTTATTGCGTCATTGTAGGAGGCAATGAAATGTGTTTTAACTCAAAAATGGTTATTTTCTAGAAGTGACAAAGGTGGCAGTCAACTCTTTATTGGCCTCTTGTCTCCATTTTATCTTATCGAATGCTTTTTTCTGATAAGTTTTATTTGTTGTACGGGAACGCAGATCCGATGGGGGTGAATTGTATTTTGATGGATTTTATTAGTTTAATAAATGAAGATAGTTTTCGGATGTCTCTTCGGTTCATGATTTCACTAATAATGACAATATGAACTACAAATCGTTTGTTGAATGTAGTTGATTGCGACAATATCGACAATTGGCGAGTTGAAAATTGATACTGTGTTTGCAATAATTAATTTAACTACTTCTCATCACTTTCATTCATTTTCTTTTGCAGGACCCAATCCGGCTTTAAATTTGATATGGCAATTTTCAATGCAGAGGAGTTGCAGCCAGGCCCAAGCGGCATCACTCCAACAGATGCACAAATTAAAGGTACGATTAACTTAACGACATGATTGCACTTGAATCACAGAATCTGTTTGTAGATATAACGGGACAGCAGGAATAATACATGTTGGTATTCGAAAATTATACATTTTCTTATGAGTTAAGTTCATTTTCGGTTTGTTGTCGGTGACGAAGCAAGATATTGAGGTTATACGACGTTCATATGTTTGTCGCGTGGAATGTTATCGAAAAATTCCGATACCATTATTTGCAACTGTTTTGACTTTGATTATCTCGTCAAAATATTTTCAAACATTTGCATAGTATGTAATTCCAATTTTAATTTTCATTCGACAACAACAGTCATGAATGAACAAAGCCACACTTTTTTCCAGGATTTCTTATAATCTCGACACAAAGAAGGAGACATAATATTAGTTGGAAGTGGACGACATATTCCAGGTTCATGTAACCGACTCCTTGTCGTTACCCGATTACTTTTGCAAGCATTTGGTCCTGCTTTACCATGTCAGCCACTGCTTTTTGTTCCTTTCCATGACAGTGAAGTGTTTACTTTTCCTTCGTGTTTTCGATCTATAGGGTACGACTGAGAGATTGAGGTAAGATATGATTATCGCAATAAAAAGGGTTGTATCGGGAATGTTGATTGATTGATCTGTCATTGTCCAGACGACATCTCATTGTAGGGCAATGTAACACATCGATAATTTGCATGGAAATCGAGAAGGAGCCAGGAAATGTAACCATGTTTCCCATTATTTCTGATAGAATGTTGTGTACTTAATGATGATTGTGCTTTTTTCGCAGCTTGTGAAAAATGCCGGAATCCAGAAAGGCTCATTAAGGGATTTTGCAAGCGATGCTATATGCAGGATTACCACGCAAAAGAAAAAGAATTGGTAAGTTTGAATTCTTTTTCATCATTATCATCAATCGGTTAGTTTAGTGACGTTACAACACATTTAACAGCAATAATGGATGGTAGATATACTTCTTCCAAATGTGTACCTCTCAATTCCCAATCATACGCAGTGAAATAAAAGAGACTGAACGTGGTAATTTTCGAGAAATACTGGACAGTAGTTGAATTAGGTACCTGCCTATGTGTTAGTTGTGTCAAGTCTCTGGTCTCATTCTGCCTTATCTACTTAGCACAATGTGTGCAAGGCCCCTAGATGTCATGAACAGACGAGTTGAAAGTTCTGAATCACATAAGCGTCTTATGAGCCATAGAGATTTCAGAGCGGTAATACTTATAATGCAAAATGACGTGTGAGGATGTTTAATATTCTTGAAAAGTATAATACAGCTTTCATGGTGATGTGTCTCCAATTAAACTCGAGGCATTCTTTTATATATGTTACTGTTAACTCTGTGTAGCTTACCAACACGATGACAGATTCATTGTTGAGAGCAAGAAGGAATGATTGCAAAACATTTTCTCCACTGAGTGCTCGACGAGGCCTAGTATCTCGACGTTGTTGCTGACATTATTTCAAGGCAACGATTGCCGAGGAATGCTTCCATTTAGTTGCACTAATGAATCATCTCAAGAGATCTTTCCATACAAGAGCTTGTCAAGCTTCTCTCACATTCATTTGCTCTCTAACTGTTCAACGGTTGGAAACTATCTTAATGCTTTATCCTTAACAGAAGTCACTACATTAAGACAGTGTTTTTTCCATTCAGGTACCATTTCATGGCTTATGACAACTTTTTGTATGCAAAATTAAGGACTTTAAGGGACTTTTAATTGTTAAAATCTAGGACTTTAAATGAGTTCTCGAGGGCACCCCAAAACAACTTTGAAGGCTAAAAGAGTTCATAAAGAAATGAAAAATTGCTTTTCTTGTATCCTTGCTTCTTTACTTTAAACGTAAAAAATCAACCAGGCCTGGCTGTGTGTGAACATGTGGGAAAATGATTAATAAAGGAAACTTTCTTACCACACACATTCAGATACGACACCATTCACAGTAAATCAATTTTATCCATTTGGAGATATGTATGATTCTGAGCACTTGGAAGAAAATAATTCTTGGCATGTACCTAGACAGGGAGCAACCTGAAAGAAGGAAAATAAATTAATAGTAACAGATGCTTAAATCCATTTGAGAGAAATGAAATCTCATGACTAAAATTCATGAGTTTAGGCATTCTTTTATATATGTTACTGTTAACTCTGTGTAGCTTACCAACACGATGACAGATTCATTGTTAAGAGCAAGAAGGAATGATTGCAAAACATTTTCTCCACTGAGTGCTCGACGAGGCCTAGTATCTCGACGTTGTTGCTGACATTATTTCAAGGCAACGATTGCCGAGGAATGCTTCCATTTAGTTGCACTAATGAATCATCTCAAGGGATCTTTCCATACAAGAGCTTGTCAAGCTTCTCTCACATTAATTTGCTCTCTAACTGTTCAACGGTTGGAAACTATCTTAATAAAATTTTTCTGTGATTATTTTCAGCTGAAAGTATGCATCGACTGCGGGCGAAAGCAGAGGAATGGCATGGGCGAGAAGCCCTATGTACCGGCCAGGGATGCAACCGGCTGTAGATGCAATACCTGCGTCACCAGATGGTCGCGTCAACAGAAAAATTAGCACCATGATTTAATAGCTGATCAATACAGAACACCCCTCTCAGAAAAGCACTGACGCAACACGATTTTTCAGTTAAGTTTTAGAGGAGAAAGCATTTTTCAAAAGATGCGACATCATACATCCAAAGCTTAAATAATTTCATGATTTTCTCCGATCATTGATGATATTAAGGTAGCCATGGATTCTCTACTCGAGGTTCCTTCCACACATGGCAGAAAACATCTACAGGCATACAGCAAATGGCTTCAAGTTAAGGAATTTGTATGGCGTAGTCCACTAATGTGAAACCTAGCTTAAAGCAGGGGTACAAGAAAGTAGACGAACGGGACTGGAAGATATGCAGACTTTTGAGTGCGATTCGCATAGTATTATACACAAGAGAGAGGAGAGCGGTTCTCTATAGTAAAGATTTCGTATAAATAGTATGCATTCTCTGCTCAGTATCGCAAGGAAAAAATCATGATTGATAAAATATTTCTCATCACCATCATCATTGCTGTTGTTGGAGTGAATTCCACAACGGTAGCGGAAAACTCATCCGAAGCGAACATCACAATGTGCCCGGTCCGTCCGGAAATCAAATGCGCACCCTCTACCTTGACGGACGTTCTTCTATTCATCTTGAGTTTACTGGCGCTGATTTGCTCCGCTCCGTAGCTGTACTCTAAGTACATATCATCCGACTGCAAGTTCCGTTTCATCAGGATGGCCCGGAAAAATAACAATCGGAAAGTTGATGATATAAGTGTTGATTTAATGTTCGGAGAAGGAGAAGGAATCGATGTTTGTGGTTGACAACCCTCATGTTTTTAGAACGCGTACGTTTTCTAAACGCGTTTGCGTTTGCGTTTTCTAAACACGAACTGTTTTAAACTGTAACTGTAAATATCCAACAAAAAAAATAATAAAAAATTTTTGATTCATCAATCTGAACATTGCAATATCCAATCCCAGTCGCTCATCGCAAAACACAAGGTTCCCGTACGCATCTCCAAGCGCTAAAAAATGAAAATTACCGCATCAGACCCTATTCTCCAGTCTCCGATACCAGGCCCATACTGTAAAATACGGTCTTTTGAAGCCGAAAATTTTACAAGTCCGAAATCTCGGAAACGAAAAGTCGTATCAAAATTCGGTCAGTACAGTTTTCCGATCTTCGAAAGTGGAAAAGAATCGCATTGATCCGCAACGGATCGGAGGACGGTGATTTTCCGAAAAATTTTCAATTTTACCGAATCAGACCCTAATCTACAGTATCCAATACCGACCCATATGGCAAGATACGGTCTTCCGAAACCGAAAATTTTTACAAGTCCAAAAATCCGAATTTTTTGCACAATCTGGCAACACTGTATCAAAAATTAACTAATTTCTCGCCCCATCTGGCAACACTGTAAAATGCGATGTTGCAAAATTTCACCAATAAATAAATCATTTATTTATGTCCACCGTCCGGCAACGCTGCTGCGCCATCTTGAAAAATACACCATTGCATAAACCGCAGATTGAAGGGGCTACATTACACGATTCCATAACCCGATTATTGAAGGGGCAACATGCAATACTTTCTTCCTTACAGCGTTGCCATATTGAATAATAATCCCTATACAACACTGTAATTTAATTCGTATTTTTCTGCACCATCATGCAACGCTGTACGATTTTTATTGGATTTTTTTCGCGGTCAAGTCGCCATATTCATACTACTGCCCAAAGCGTGAACCGATTGACAACCGTGAATGGATAGACAAACTCGTGAATCGGTCGGATTATGTCGATCGGTTCACGGTTTTTATTTTTCGATCAATTCATGTCGATTGAATCCAGAATTTCCCTTCTTTCCGTACCATGTGATTGTCATCATGATTAAGGAATGTTTTAACCTCTTATACTTAGTCGTTGTTCTCTAATTGTAATGAGTCTGTTGCGAACTTCAACCAGAGCAAAAAGACAAGTTGTTGTAGACATGTTCTAAAAAATGTATTTTTTCACTATTTCTAGGAATATTACAGAAATTCAGACACCCTAACTATAAATTAACTAACATCCCATTCTCAGGGTCCTTCTATGAAAAATGTCTGACGCGGGGCCACCAGATGTAACACAAGTGAACTTTGGTTCTTTTGCGAGTGAATGACTTTTTCTGTACGACGAACTGTGGAAATTTCGCTAAGAGGGGTAAAAATAGGTATACGATGTTAAAACTGGTGCATGCATTAACAAAATGTGATTTAATTTGGTTTCAATTTCTTTTAGTACTTCAACAATACTCTACGATAAAGAAAACAAATGCCTAAGATAAATTAAACTGCATTTTCCTTACCCCCCCCCCCTCCCAATTACCTCTCATCAGACCTCGTTTCACATCTACATCTATCCATGCATCAGGATTACAGAAGCAGTGCCAAAAATGGATCGCTCTAGCCTCGTGTTTGTCCTAAAAAGGAGGGATTTTTAGGTCAATGAGGAAATCTCGCCGCGAAAATGTCACCTCTTCATGATCATGAATCACTAATAATTATCCATTTTTCAGTTTTTGTTGAGCTTTTTAGGTCGTATATTTTTTCGAGTCAATATGTTAATGTAGGCTTAAGGACCGAATTTTCCGTTTGCCAACTTCAAGTTGGTAAAATATTAAGGAAAAATAAACGCAAATCGATCAAAATTCAATGCTTGATTTTTTTAGATTGATGAGCCAATTTAGGAGATCAAAGTTTAAAAACCTCGTCAAGATGATCGACTGTGATCCTAAGTGTCACCAATTTAGGGATAGAATTTTTATTAGATTATTCATTTAATTCTTGAATATAATTTTCTTTTCCTTTTGATGATGGATTACTCAGCAGGGTATGGATCAAGCACCGCAAAACAAGTTTCGCATCGAAATTTTATGTAAAATACGAGTGACGCACAAAACTTTCCAAATTCAAGTCATTAGTGAGAAAAAAAAAGGTTTTTTTTCCTGTGCGTCGATTTGAACTTCCCCTCCCAAAAAACCTAGGTCTACTGGAGTCGAATCGATCACTGTCAGAGTTGCAAAATTTTACGAAACTGAAATTCCAAAAAAAAATCCATGAAATTTCATAGTTACATTTCATGGAATTTTCTCAGTGCAATTAATCAGGGGCCGAAGTTGGGTTTGGCTCGGATAGGCAACTTAACTAACCGTCCGACAAAGCGGAGAGTATCGCGGGGATTTGTAGGCGCCTCCAATCCGAGGATCGGCTTTTAAAGTTTCTCACCAACAGCGTCAAAAATCAGCATAAAGCTGAAAATCTCAATACAGAGGGAAAATTGTGCTCATATGAGCACAATTTTCTCTCCAAGAGAAACGCTGTTTGGTGAAACACTAGTAACGACCATTCAGGAAGGCAACTTCAGACGCGTTTCGGGTCTAATTGGACCCATCCTCAGTGCTGCGCAGCCTCCTGAATTTTCTGCTCGTAGCTCACAGCGTATCTCTTTGAGGTAAAAATGTGAGCTTTTCTCCTCTGTATTGAAACTTTCAGCTTTATGCTGATTTTTAACGCACGTTGGCTAAAAAATTCCAACTCACTGTGTTTCTTCATATGTGCTCTATCTGACACCAGCGCGCAAGTCCCGCGTTTGAAGGAGCGCGAAGTGACAGAGCTGGCGATGCTTGGCGGCCACGCTAGAATAGTAATTCCGTTGACACGTTTGAATTGTTTGTGGTGCACCGGGCCGCGGGTATTTTGACGCGGCGTTTGTGTACTCTTTGATGCCGAGCAATGATTCGTAACGACAAAGCGGGCCGCGGGCCGCTTCAGGCTTCAGGCGGCCGTTTCAGGCCCCGATCCTTCAGCTTCGCAGTCGCCGGGTGACATCCCACTCGCCAGGCATCTTAACGACACGTTAGCACTCGGTCTTTATTAGCGGAGACGAAGCGACGCGCCTCCACGCCGCGCCGCGCCGCCGCGGAACGACGCATGTGCAAGCACCTGACATATCCTTGTAATTAATCTGTTTAATAGAGTCAATTATGATTTCGAGCCACTTGAAATAACATCTCCGTGGCGGCCCCCATATTTCTCTCGCGTCCCGAACAATTAAACGATTTCATGCGGTTACAGATCGTTTACCATGATTTATGGGACCTGCGCTTATAATAATAACTCTCCCGAAAAGGCATTGCCCACAAATAACGTAGAGTATGCGGTTTTTTGACACTCACTTATCTCTCTGTAACGCTTAGATAGCTCAATAAAAATTATCCAATTTATTTTTTTATTATTTTTTTTTTGTAGAAAACTGGAGGTGCTCTTGTCAAAGAGTTTCCTCTTCATTTCGCATTCTGAACTTGTTCGCATCCATTGGATATTCGGTGGTGACTCTCATAGTGAGGGTAGCAATTTATGGGGGTAATTGCCAAGTGTACAACGGTTCATTGAACAAAGGCACACTTCCGTATTACTAAAAGGTAATACTATTTTTTTTTTTAATTTTTGGCCTAAGAGGAGGAGAGGAATGTCGGAAATACCCAGATCCGGGTACTATGGGTTGTACTGCGAGATACTCGCTTTAAATCGAATTACTTGATTTGAAAGGTACCCAACTAAAAAAAGGAAGAAAAAAAAACCAAAGAAAACGGGGGAAATCAGAGTCCAACAATTTTTGATGAATGGGAAGACTCTTTGGCTCATCTTCGTCACCCCCCTAAAAGTGCTCCGAAGCAAAAAGTATTAATATGAAACATTTACTTTTTATACACTCCTGCGTTCTTAAATCTTGAGCCATAAAAGCTTTTTTCAAAATTAACAAATATCCTTCAGATGCAAAAAAAAAGGAAACATAAATTCATCTAAATGATGCACGTGACCCTAAAAACCATTTTGCCACATGAGACGGGATTTTCGTTTTTTCAAGTGGAACTGCTTCAAAGCATGACACTCATAAGCATTCAGCGGTCACCAATAATCCAACAAAACCATAGTAACCCGCCTGTTCTAGGTGTCAATTACAGGATACAACTATATCAACTCTCCGGTAGTTAAAATTGCATAGCCATCAAGATGAAGGCGCCTATTCAATCCTCACACGTAACATGATTCTGTTGAAGTTATCCTGGAGGCATAACATTATGAAGACTGTCGCAAAGTTGTTCGTGCTGTGACAGGATCAATTACTGTTTCTGAATAAATATTGAAGAACCCTAAATTTTTCTTTGTTCCAGTGTAATTCGTATGGATGATTCATTACTACGCATCGAATTTCTACTTTTATCAGCCTTATTCCGCCTCATTCCCTCTCTTCTTCCGTTTATTCTCTGCACTATTTAAGATAAACGTTACCTACTTCGTAACCATAATGCTGATAGGATAAGGTCATTCTTGACCTTCTATTTCGAGTCAAATTTAACCTATTTTAAAATTAATAAGACCTTAAATGACTTCTAATTTCTCAAATTGACTTTAGACTTGCCTTGATTGCCTCCGATTCACTTTACGCACTTACTTACTACGTTACTTCACTTACTTTATTTGCGTCTACTTAGA